TTCATTCCCAACATATTTCCAACTTAAAATAGTAAAAATACTGAAAGTTTGTTTCAGAAATGAGGTAGCCTTGTATATTATTCACTATCTTTTAAGAAAATACCATGGGGGGGATTTTTCCCCCCAGAAAGTAAAATTGTACCACTGAACTTTAGAAAAGGTCTAAAAAGAGGTTTCCTTGAATGTGTAGGTCAAGATGACTAATATTTGCTATGTAAAATTTGATAATTTTAAAAAGGACAAGCTAACTACCATGTCTGAACTTTTAGTTTCTCTGAGTGATTAAAAAATGTGACAATGAATTTTATCATGGGTCTTACTGTCTCAGGAGTTATCTGATAAAGTCTATATTTATGGTGGTTTAATAATTGTGGTTCTAACATGTATGCAAGTTTTACATTTAACTATGCACATTTGGCTCTTTACTTTTGAGAATTGTACTGTATTATTCTACAGCTTATAACAAAGTGTTAGTCTTTGCCAAAAGTAAAATAAATGTAGCTGTGGCTATAAAATTATAGTGAGCCCAGGTGTTGTCTGTCCGCCTTACTTACCCCTGGAACCATTATCAAACTCAGCTCTAGAGTTCTTTTATCTCCTTAGATCAAAGCACCAAAAAAAAAAAAAAAAATCAGTATAATATGAGCCAGGATAAGTCAATAGATTAGCAAGTCTTTTTCCTATGGTATGCTCTTATCTCTCTTATTACATACCATTATGAATGACAAATTGCTCTTTTGTTTAAATGATACAAAGTTTTCCTTTTTGAAGACTTGGTTAAATTGTGTGATACATTCTTTTTCTATTAGCAAAAGACACTAGCCTTTATTTTTTTTTATTGTGGCACTGGGGTTTTTGAACTCAGGGCCTCACACTTGCTAGGCAGGTGCTCTTACCACTTGAGCCACTTCACCAGCCCTTTTTTGTGATGTTTTTTACAAGATAGGGTCTCACGAACTATTTTCCCAGGCTGGTTTTGAACCATGATCCTCCTGATCTCTGCCTCCTGAGTAGTTAGGATTATAGGTGTGAGCCACTGATGGCCAACATTACTTGCCTTTCAAATTAAAAAAGAATATAGATATAAAAGCAAAGTAATAAAATTTCACTTCCTCCTTTTAAGACAACACACTGGAAAAGCAACAATCTTTAGCCTAATATAAAATTGCTCCGTAATGTTTACTCTAACAATGAAGTTTTCAGTGTTTTAAATAATTTAAAAACTGTTTACATATATTCAAATTGGAGCTAATTAGCTCATGCTTTCTACCTGTATCTGTAAAGTCTGAGACTTTATACTAACCTCATTCAAATCCAGGCAGCTCCTTCCTAATGAGCAATCATTAAGAACTGCTTCTGAGAGGCCCACTGCATTCCTAACCTCTCCCCATGACATGCTCAAGACTAAGACTTAATAAACCTTATAAAAATATGAAAATCAAAGTAAAAAATTATGCTTTCTGATAACATTTATAGTAAGACCTTGGCAGTCTTTTCTCTCAAAGCATTTACCTTAAGTAAAAAAATTTAGAAGTTAGCACAAAAGACGACCATTATATGAAACAGTTTTCTTAAGTGTTTTAATCATGTAATTTTTAAAACTTCATAAGATGAACACTTGGAGCAAGCCATTTCCACTTTACGCAAAATTGGGTTGGGATCCATTTTGTGATTCTAAGAACCAATAAGTAGTGTAGAGCCACAGTGTAACTAAGCAAGGTTTATGGACTCTTGAGGTTTTTGAAGGATAAGGGGAAATAAAAGGAAAAGTGAAAGAATGATGAAGAAAACAAAAAGAATAGAAAGAAAGGGCATGTGGAAGGGTGTGACAGTGCACCACAGGAACTCCTTAGCCATCCATGGTGCATGTTGTCTGCCCCTAACCTTGAATCACATTGTCTTTCTATTAACATCAACTCATCTGCCTATAGGACTGTTTACAGTAACACTGGTATAAATTAAAGTTTCTTAGATGCATTTAAAAGAATTAGCATCATTAGAAGTAAACACATCTTTCTATAACTAAGTATACATTTACTTTTAAGTGTGGAAGTTGAAACTAATAGTATTAAAGGTAACTGCAAATTTGGGTGAAGCCTTTGAGATCATCTACAAACAGGTATAAGTGGATGTTATATGGATTGTGAAAAATAAATGAAGTCTCATTTCTATGAATAGAATTTGAAGCTTAATATAATCACTACTTAATTTTCGGTGGAAATTGCAAGTCTTGTAGCAGGGCTATCGAGTGAGCATTGAAACTGTAATCAGAGAGATTTATAAATTTTAAAGTATTAGTAATCTGGATGGTATATTATTACCACTCAACTGGATGTGTCCAGCTGAGTACTAAAACATACGTGTATATTCATTTTGTATATAAATATCAAATATACAGGATCTGTAAGTGAATGGATCCCAACAATATCCCCTGCAATGAAGTTTAACCAAAATCTTTCTGGGAAGTCCTTGGGCTTCTGTGACAACAGTATCTGATCCAGTTTTCCATAAAGAACAATTGATCCCTTTCTTGTGTTACCATTGGTTGACCTCAAATGCCAGAACTTTTGAATCTGAGAATTTACTGAGTATTACGAGAGTTTGGTGATGAGATAAAGAGTTCTGACACTGGCAGAGTAGCTCCAGTGGTAGAGCACCTGCCTAGTAAGTGTGAAGCCCTCAGTTCAAACCCCAGTACCACTTTAAAAAAAAAAAAGCTCTGACACTATTGTTTTCCCTAGAAAAGTGTTTGGATTGAATTAAAAAACTAGAAAAACTAGTTCGTTAGGTAATTTTATTGTAGCAATAATATTCTGCTCAGAAATTAGAATTTACTGTGACTAAACTCTTATTTCTTGTTCTAAAAACACATTATTTATGAATATTAGCATTTTTATATTCTTGGTTTATATTTTAGTTTTGAACTTTCCTTTCCAAATAACATATTCCTAAATACTTATTTCATAGAATTTAGCATCTTACTTTCATTCCTTTTCTAACTTTTTATGATCACAGCAGAGTATCCTCCATAAAAATCTATTAGAGTTTTTTATTGTTGTAGATCAGATTGAGTCATTCCATTAAACTGCAAACTACACCTGTGCAATGTTATAATACAAATACTAGATGCTGAGATCGAAGTATTATTATTACTTAAGTCACTTTGTTCTTTTGTGAAAACTAATCAAGCAAGACCAAGTCTTTGGGTTTCAGATTATTACCAGCTTTCTATTGTAAAAATCGGCCAAATTTTGAAAGAAAAAACATTTTGGAGGTCTTTACATAGTAAAATTTCCATTTCAGAGTAACCTTTCTATAAACTAGGAGGGTGTCTTTAGTAATCGTTGATGCTGAGAATGTAGGTAAGTTAAGTTGGTTTCAGAACACTTGCCTGGCATATGCCCTAAAACTGTAAAAAAAAAAAAAAAAAAAAAAAAAAAACCAACAACAAACCAAAAACATTTTTCAATGGTAGGTTTAATTATTGGTCTTAGTTGTATGCTTTTATTGAACTTTTCAAAAGCATCAGTGATGATAAAAAAGATGTTTTCGATAACTGAGTGTGAATAAAGGACTTGCTAATGTTATATTACAGGGACTTAATGCATATTATCATGTCTCAATTCTCTTCTAAAAGTTTAAAACAAGAACATGCAAGGACAGTATGGTCAACATGTAGATCTTTTTTCTGCAACAGACCTTTTGCAAACAAATTGCCAAAGACACTGAATATGAGATACAAAACTACTGGAAGTAGTAAATTGTAACTATGTGTATGGCATTGTAAATTGCTGAATGTCTTCAAAATCATTACCAAGCATGGTGGAACACATCTGTAATCCTAGCTACTCAGTAGGCTGAGGCAAGAGGTTCATGAGTTCAAGGCTAGCCTGGGCAAAATAGGTTCTCTCTCTAAAATATGAACAAACAAAACAATCAAAATCGTTTAAAATCCTGTTAAAAATAAATCTCACATTTCACATTTATACTGTGAACCTTCACGATGGCAGATGAGAATGGTGTTACTGAAAGGAAACATCACTGGATTTTCTAGATTTCGATTAACAGCCTTACTTCCCCCTCCAGCCCTCTGCCTATCTCTCCCTAACAAACCAACAGCTACAAATTCAAATGCTCCAGATAGCCCATTTCTTAGGTAGATGGAGAATGGGTAACTGTCTTTTAAAGACAATAGAAGATAAAAAGTAGTGAGATAATAGAATTGAATTTCTCCCCTAACAGGTAATTTAGAAATGGAGATTCTAGAGGTACTTTAGAAAATAATAGCATTATTTTCAGGCAAACAAAGCTACATTCAAATTAAGATTTGATATTCATTTATACTTAGGATTCAAATACACTATGCACATTATTTTTAGTGGTCTAAAGAATAATTTCAAAGACACAGGAGAGTGTTCCTATTTTTGATCATTAAATGAATAATGATCATGGCATGACTTTAGTTTTAATTTTAGGTCTTTGAAACTAATAGCTTTCTTATAATAGTTAATATATAAATAGAAAAAAAAAAACCAGGAAAGCTAATGAGGAATACACTAGAACAAACACATTCACACAGCATATAACAACACTTCAGTCAACAAAGGACTGCAGGTACAATGATGGTCCCATAATATCATTCTATCACCTACTGACATTGTACTCATCTTAGTTTGTGTAAGTAAACTCTATGATATTCACATAACAATGAAATCACCTAACGCTGTTTTTCTCAAAACATCCCTGTCATTAAGCGATGCATGACTGAACACATGAATGCAAATTTTTGCTAGAAAAATTTGGAAATGTAAGAATTGTTTCTAAGTATTTTTAACCTTTTAAGACCCATTAATTTCATAAACCAATTTAAGCAACTGCTTCTAGCAGAAAGATATTTTCTTGATGAATACAAAGGGTTTTGCCCCCCTGCTTAGTAAGACTGTTTAAACACCAGTGCTAATAAACCCAGAAGTCAGTTAAAATTGCCAGAATATCTTTCATGCATTCTATTTTACTTTATTGTTTACACAAATCAGAAAGTTTGGATGTTTCTGGCTACTGGAATAAAACACGTTGCAAACCCAAAGGGAACAAGCATAAATGGAAGAAGTGCCTGACTTCTGAACTGCTTTGCCTCATACAGAAGGTCCTTTCCATCTCACATATCCATTCTGAGTGCATTGCTAGCATCTCTTCCTGGAAGGTCTCTTGACACTGGAGCAAGTCAAAATCTCCCAATTTCATAGTTTAAATATTTAACAGTAGACTTGAAGCTTAGGTAGATCTGTTATTATTTAGAATCCAGGATTAAATTTTGCAAAAAGTTTCCAAAATGCAAAAGAAATTAAAACACTGGAACTAAAGACACCATATGAAATACAAAGTATTTCCAGTCCTAACCAAACTGCAACCCTTTCAATATAGCTCGAGGTATTTAAAAAATATTTGTATAAACTAAATAGCATTCACAGTTTCCAAAGTGGTTTTACTGAGATAGCATCAAATGTTCACAATATTTGACTTTCAGACATGTTTTCCTGTAACAGTCTCTTCCCTCAGACTCCTGGAAATATAAGACAGCTATTTGGTAACAGAAAATGGTTCTTGTAGTAATAAGTGTTCCATTTCCCAATTATTGTGCTATTCTGAGGATGTGATTAAAAAAATAAGAAATTTGCAATTCATATAAAAGGAAAACTTGCTTAAAATTCAAAAGCAAGTCTAGTCTTGTGGAGGTATGTAGCACATTAAATAATAGAGTCAGATTCTTTCTTGAAGATTCCAGGCGAGCTAGACAAAGAGTTTTGATTCTCCAACATTTTCTCCATCTTTTCTCCTCCAGTGGTTTGACTGATCTCTCTTTGCTTCTTACTATGGATCCATGGAACAAAGCAAAGTACAGCGCCTCCAATAAGGGGAGGGATCCCCGCAAGGTAGAATGCCACATTATAGGAGCCCAGCTTGTCACGAAGCAAGCCTGAGAAGGGAAACAGCTGTCACCAAGAGACAACAAGTTTGGCTCTCAGAGCAGTCACACTGATGGCTTAGGCCCAGCCTCATAATTTCATCTCAGCAGAACTGGTTCACACAGATCAGATATCAGACATTTTTTAAAGAAAGAGACCTGAAATATAAACCTTTTCTGATATGAGGAAGGAAAAATAATTTCCTATCTTTAATCTTGTCACAACATACAGGCCTCTGAATTTTCACACTGAAATGCTACTTTGGAAAAATACTTGCTACTAAGATTTGGTTTTCTTAGAGCCCAGCAGAGGTTATCTGAGATATTCCAACTGTGGTGAAAGGTCCTTGACTCAGATGAAAGCAGCAGAACATCCAGCTGAAATTTCTCTCAAATGTTTACAGTTCAACCAACTTGGGGCCCATTTGATTTTAAACTATAATCCAAAAGCTCAAAAAATTATAAATCTAAGAGTTGGAATTTTAAAAAGTTAGTTTGTTAAATACACTTCGGAAGGATATGAAGGCTTGTTAGTCCTTGAGAAGAAAAGATATAATGTATGTTGGCACTCTACTAGACCATGGGCTCTGCTTCTGCAAATTATAATTTAGAGCATTAGTTAGTTCTAATTTCAATAACAACAAGGATGTGGAGTTTTAAAAGGATTTTTAGTGTTTTAAACTATATAACTTTACTTGTCTGAAATATCCAGGGAAGAATATCTACTGAATATCTATATTTGACTTTGTTAAATAAACAGCTGAGGACGTGTCCAGTTGAGTACCAATGCATACAAATTAACGTGGACACTCATTCTGGATATAAACATAACATACATAGCATCTCTAAATAAGTCTTCTGAATCAGAATGTCCCACATGTAACTGAACCTTTCATTCTCATGTACACTAACAACTGCTGGATGACTATGACACCCTCAGAACCTACTGGTGAGCTAGGGACTCTGTGCTGTCAGTTGCTGTGTGTTGGCTCTTTTGCTCACTTTGGAAGCTTCCTGTTTCCTCCCTTATTCTTGGTTCATTAGCAGTCACTCGTGGTACCAGACACCACGCCTACTACAGTGCTGCTTGTAAACTACTATGATTTGAAAACCCTAAAACCAAGCTTGTAGGATATAAAAATAAGAGTGACTAGTGTATTATCCTGGAGCAAACAGGAAGAAGTGGAAGGTTCTCTAGGAAGACTGTCAGCTTTAGGACTTAAACTCTGTTCACTCTGCTTAATAGTAACTCTGCTTGCTTGATTCATGAATGGGAGTATAATTTCAGATGTAAGAAAGAATTAAGCTGAATTTTCACTGAGGCCCTTGAGTAGACACAGATGACAGTACATAGTTTAAATTTTATCCTAATTCTATTGAATTTTCTTATACAAATTCGCGCTGGCACCCAAGTAACACTGAACATGAGACATCTTTATACTATCACTCAGAAAGAAGATTTCTAAAGGTGAAATTCACTTAACATAAAATTAACTTTTAAAAGTGAACAATTCAATAGCATTTAGTAAATTTACAATGTTGTACAACCATTACATCTACCTCATTCCAAAATATTTTCATCATGCTAAAAAAGAACTCTGTCCCCATTAGTAGTTACTCTCCAGTCCTCCTTCCCTCCAACCCTCTGTAACCACCAATCTCTTTCTTGTCTCCATGGATTTAACTATTCTGGATATTTTACATAAATAGAATCATAAAATATATGGCCTTTTATATTTGGCTTTTTTGACTCAGCATAATGTTTTTAAGGTTCATCCACCTGGTAGAATATATCAGTACAGAATTTCATTCCTTTCTATGGGTAATAGTCCATGGTATAGATATGCCACATTTTTCCATTCATCCAATGATGGACAGCTGAGTTTTTTCTATTAAATGTTATTTTTCATTAATCATTTTTCAGAGGAATAGTATCTCTTACACAAAGCATACATATCTAGAAATCTTTCAGGCTCTTCATCTTTTTAAAGAAGACATGCTCCCATTTGTTTAAAGCATATATAAAGTAAAAGATAGTAACTGTGAAAACTGAAGGGCTTGGGATACAGCTCAGTGGAAAAGCGTATGCTTCTTAGCTTGCCTATGTACTGGGTTCAATGCTCAGCAACTCCCCACAAAAAAAGAAAAAAAATTTTGACAATTTAAAGTCTAGAAATTTACTGTTATAAATTTTATTGAGGGTTCTAGATGCTAGGAAGGATAAGAGGGCTCCCCAGCCAACTTCTTACTACTACATACTACTTACTGCTAGTCTTATTAAAAATGGGTGAGGGAAGGCACACATAAACACACACACACACAAAACCTCAGAGGATCAGTAATAATAAATTATAGTATGCTTTATATAAGTGCAGCTCAGGACCTGAAATAGAAAATGCTATGAATTAATATAACTACTGGAAAATTATATTTACCTGCAATGGGTGGGCCCACAGTCATGGGTATAGACATGAATCCAAGAAGAAATCCGATTGCTTGGGAGACATCCTGAGCACCAACTAATTCAAAGGCAATGGGGGCCATAATAGAAATGAAGCATCCATCGAAGAGACCCATGATGAGACAGACGGCAATGAGGGCCCCGAAGACGCTACACAGGGGGATCATCATGGACATCAGACCAATGAAGAAAAAGGAGAGCACCTAGGGCAGATGGCCACATGTCAACTCTGCTTTCAGGACAAGGGGCTCCTTCTTTCCCCTTGACCTTACAGAATCTACTCTCCCAAGATTCTCTCTCACACTTTTTTTTGTGAATTACTAATGTCCTATATGAATACACAATTATACCATGATTTTAAGACACAGAACTCAATTTTATAACTATAGCATAATTTCATCTTATTTCTACATATTTATAATTTTCCCCTCATTTTGGTTATTATAAGCAGAATTGTATGATAAACATCACTGTACATACATTAAAGAAAAGATGTTCCTTATTAGCTAAGTTGAGCTCTCACACTTTCTTAATAGTTCCATTAAGGGACAAGGAGAAGGTAACTATTTTATATACTTACTTTCATTGCTAGCCTGCAAACTCTTTGAAGTCAAAATTTGTTTAAAAAAAATCAAGTTCGAGTTGGTGGAGTGGCTCAAGTGGTAGAGCACCTTCCTACCAAGCATGAAGCCCTGAGTTCAAGCCCCAGTACTGCCAAAGCAATGAATGACAAATTTGGACTAGATATTATGAGGTTTAGGGATTGAGCATGTGGTCAGTGCTCAATCAGCTCAAATTCATACATCAAACACTTTTTTTTAACCTTTGAAATTATACCTCATAGGCAAATATTACAGACATGTTTGAGCACCTCAGAGTTAAGTTTCAGAATATTTATTTGGACCCACTGAACACTTTCATCTTAGTGTTAGTTTATATAATAAACACCTGATTTTGTCTGCCTTTTGGTAGGCACTGAGCTTCAAATGAAATGTTTGAGATGCTGCCATAAGTATGGTGGGTACAAAAAAGAAGAACAGACAATTCAGTAACTTTTTAGTTACAGAGCTAATTAAAAACTGTATAGGAAAAATAAAACATGTTGAAACTATTCTAAGAAGTGAAGAGGGGAATAAAGAAGAATGATGGAGGGGGTAAATTTGACTAAGATATATTGTAAGCACTTTTGTAAGTGTACCAATAATATAATAAAAATAAACAAATATAATAAAAATTAAACTGAATAATTCACTAATCAAAAGGAGAAATGTAAAAAGCATAAAGTTGTTAGGTTTTTTTGTCATAATATTATATGCTCTAGAAGAAAGAGTCCTCCATGAGTTAGTTCAGGTTTTAAGAAAGCACATGCACAAATAGCAGCTATCACTTATTTAGTGTTTATGAAGTTACTTTCATTGTTCAGTCACTTTCTGTGTATTATATCACTGATGATCCTTATAGAAATTTATGAGTTGAGTACTGATGCTATCCCCACTTTAGAAATGAACACAGTGATGCTGAGAGAAGGTAAGTAATGCACCCACAGCATACTAGATGGAGCTAGACTAGAACCTGTGGTCCATGTGGACAGCAGCAGGGAGCAGACAGAACTGTTTCGGTAGGGCTCCCTCCAGTGACAGTGGGGGTAGGGAGAAGAGAACAAATGAAGCACCCATGTGGATCACTGTCTCATCCCTCCTGTTCTTCACAGGACCCATGGGGACACTGTGCAGTGCCAAGCTGGTACTGCTCATCAAGGCGGCCACACACAGCCTGAGGCTCTAAGGATGCAGAGTGGGAGCGGGAGGTCAGATTCAAGAACGCAGCTTCCATAAACACCACCACAAGAAACATGGTCTTAAAAATCATGTCATGTTGTTGGTGGAGTGTCTCAAACAGTAACAGCACCTGCCTAGCAAGTGTGAGGCCCTGAATTCAAACCCTAGTACTGCTTTAAAAAAAAAAAAAAAGAAAGAAAGAAAAGAAAAAAAAGAAACAGTTTGAAAAAAATTAAAAACAAACAAAAATCATGTCACGCTCAGGCTAGGGATGTGGCTCAAATGGCAAAGCACCTGACTAACAAGCACAAGGTCCTGAGTGCAAACTAAAGTACTGGCCAAAACCAAACAGACAAAAAAACCAAACTAAACAAAAATAAGGAATCATGGTATTGCCAGGTGCCAGCAGCTCACACCTGTAACATCTGTAATCTTAGCTGTTTGGGAGGCTGAAATCAGGGAGGATCTCAGTTTGAGGCCAGCCCAGGCAAATATTCTTGAGACTCCATCTTCAAAATAACCATAGCAAAATGAATTGCAGGTGTGGCTAAAGCAGTAGAGCACCTGCTTTGTAAACACAAAACCCTGAGTTCAAACCCCAGTCCCACCAAAAAAAGTGTCATGCTCCAGATTAGTTAGTTCTCTTTATGACATCAACATAACATACAGCTGAATATATTTCTCCTAAAATATGGCTTTAAAATAAAATTATGATTAGTTTAAGAATTTGAGCTGGTTATTTGAAAAATGAGTCTGACATTTCACACTAGCATTTATTTTTTCATTTGCTTGCTTTCTTGAGACAGGATCAATATGTAGCACAGGCATACCTTGAAATCACAGTCCTCCTGCCTCTGCCTCCTCAAGTCTGGGATTACAGGACTATACCACTATGCCCACTTAAGATTTATTAATTTGTTACTTTAAAGTAAATCTTTTTGGTTTTCCTTTAAGAATTGAGCTTATATTGGGCTGAGAGCATTGTTCAACAGGTGGAGTGCTTGCCTAGTATGCACAACACATGGGTTCAATTCCCAGTACAGAAAAAAATATTGAGCATATAGAAATGTACACATTTATCCTTTAAGCATTTGTCAGAAAAATAACTTCTTTTACCTTACTTATAGCTGTAGTAAGAAACAATGCTTTTCCCAGATCTTACTTCCCAAAATATCTCCAAGCTGGTGAGAACATACTTGCTGCTGATGAGTAAACACGATTCCTTATATGCAAGGATACCTGGGCCCCAAAGATCACATGCCAAGGTTTAACAACCTGTCCATATAGAGGTTCAGTACTTCCTCATCACTTACCAAAATCAATATTGATCTGTAAATACTGGGACCCAGTTTAAAAGACAAATTTAGCATTACACACAATCTTTTTTCTTTCCCTTAAATACAGCATCTGGTTAGATTTATAAAAGGGATTCAGAAGCCCCTAATTCTCTTGTAGACTCTGACACAGACGTGTAGGAAGATGGTTTCAGTTTAGCTATCTATATTGCTTTTGTTTTCTTAAAACCATCCAAGATAATCTGTTTTGTCATAATAGTGTAGTCTCTAAAAGAAAGTTCATGTACCTAAGAATAACTATTTTTTGCTAATACCTTTCCCATTTGAATCATAAAGAAAGCATTCTTGGAGAAATGTCAGTTTAAGTTTTGCTCAGGAATCTACATGTAACTGGAGAGGAAAAATAAGCTACACCTGAATAAGCAGAAGGCATTTTTGGAGACAGACACACAATTGGGCACAATTAGACTCAAGTGTGTTGCTGTTACTAGATTTACTTAATATAAAGTTTCCAGACTTTCAGAGCCTGCAGCTAGGCACCCAAGGCAGAAAGCAGCTGTCAGCAAAGTCCTGTTCATCCTCACAAGCTAAACAGAGTATTTAGGTCATAGTGGGTGGATGGCTTCTTTTTTTAACCAGCCATTTTACTCTTCTTTTATTCTACTGTCTCTGGGCACATATCTTATTTGGCACCAACTTTTTTATTTTTTAAATTTTTTTGGCAGTACTGAGGTTTGAACTCAGGATCTCATGCTTGCTAGGTAAGCTCTACACTTGAGCCCCTCCGCCAACCCTTGGATGGCTCTTTCTGAGGCAGAAAGGTCACAGTTCTTTTGAAGTGCTTTATGGGGAGTCTGTTCAACCATCCATCTGTCCATCCATTCCCCCGACCCCGCTTAGCACATGAGTACTTTCCTTTCTGCCTGCTGGAGAACTGGTACTTGAATATTCACACCAGTGCACAGTTTAGATGAGCCTAAGGGGCCTCTGACTCCTTGTTCAAGCTGGGGAATAGTTAAGTATTTGGACACTATTTCAAAATAGCTTACATTTGGTAGTCTATACCTTCATCCCAAGGTATACAGACTTAGGAAAATATAAAATGCTAAAATGGAGTGAAAAACAAAGTTAAGCAACACTGATCAATTCATTCTACCTAAACTGGAAAGGGAAAATTTAAATAGGAAGATGGATCTGAAAGTCATTTTTTCTAGATTACAAATGTAACTCATTAATACAGTCTTTAAACTTTAGAGAACTGTAGACAGTAATATATGAAAGGCTTTCTGCAACCCCTCCCACTCCCACCCATGTTCTCTTGGCAATTTGGTTTATGCCCTCCCCATGCCATTCCTGTGCAGGCACATGTTATCTACTTTACATGGACGGACACAATGTCCACACTACAGTATATCCATGGCACAAAGAAATATGATACAACAGAAATGATATAAATCCCAAGTTTTCAATTCTTTCATAGTTATAACCTTCAAATCTTTCACTCTCACCCTTCTAAAACACTTACAAAGACACAAACACATGTGTAGTAATTTAATGGTCCCCAGAAAAACTAGAAGGGCACATATAACCCTTCTAGTTTTTAAGAACATACTCCAGGAGCCTTTGCAAGCTTTTCTTTAACCTTCTGTGTAATGCAATCCAGACATCTCTTCTCTGCCAGGAACAGAGACTTCACTCAGCCTTCAGAATCATTAGGTTGATAACCAAAGACCTCTAATTCAGCATAACTAGGGTCTCCTTCCTTGAGATTTTCCAAATCAAGGCTTGCCTTCTATACTTACATAATATTAAAATATAATTTAAAAACACCATACACTTTGGTCAGGTGTTTTATATAAATTGTCACCAATAATCTGCCAGTTCTAGCTGGGCGCTGATGGCTCCTGTCTGCAATTCTAGCTCCTTGGGAGGCTGACATTGGGAGAACTGCCCCAGCAAAAAATTAGTGAGACCCCCATCTCAATGGTAAAGAGCTGTTACTGTGGTATGTACCAGTCATCCTAGTGACCATAAGAAGCATAAAACAGGAGGATCACAGTCCAGGTCAGTCTGGACAAAAAGCAAGACCCTATTTCCAAAATATCCAGAGAAAAAAGGGCTGGAGGTGTGGGTCAAGTGGTAGAGCAAGCATGAAGCCCTGAATTTGAACCCCAGTACCACCAAAAAAAAAAAAAAAATCTGCTGGTTCTAAAGACAAGGTAGTGGTAGAATAAAATGAACTCATCTCACTCCAGAGTCTGTGTTCTTCTTCCCTGTGGCCTCCCAAACCCAAGATGACTGAACTTAGACCACAAGAGGGCTGTGAAGTATGTCTATGTCACTAATATTCCAGACCTGCCTGCTACTCAGAACTGGTTTCAAGGGAACAAGGAGAGAAGAAAACTGTCACAGCCCTATGAGTTTGAACTATAAGAGACAAAAAGATCACATATGTTTGAGAAATCCCACTACCAACAGAAGTAATGAAGTAAAGGTAAGCAAAAGAGCTAAGTCAAAAGGCAGACAGCCCGGGATGGAGGGAGAAGCAGAGAAAGAACAATGAACAAACAGGAAGAGCTAGAGTCTGTGGCAGTAAAGAAAACTGAGTCAAGAATCAAAAACCTTGGGCTAAGAAAGCCAGGAAAAAGCAAAGACAGAGGGGCATGACTCCTATGACTCATAGACAACCTATGACTCCTTCATAGGTTGGGCCTGTGTTATCTCCTGCACTCTTGTATTCACAAGACAAAGCTCATCAGTGACTCCCAGCAGCCACAAGACACAAAAGGACTTTTTTGCTTCTTAACTGACCTCTTTGAAATATAGTAATCCTGCCCATGACTCAGCATGTCATGTCACAAATACTGCTCTACTTCTGGATGAAACAAATTGGATAAGGCCTAAAATAAGCCAGATTATAGTTAACTTTTCACCCAAAATGAAGTGTCTGACCCTCAATAATTACTTAACTCACTGCTATATGTGGACCAAATACAGAACAAGTTAGGAAAGGCTCTATTTTCTTTTGAAAGTTACTTGAAACTTGGGTAGTAAAATATATCCCTCAAATGTTACACATGACCTATTTGTCCCTTCTGTAGGGGTGAAAAGTTTTCAAAAAATGTTTTGAGGAAATGTTGATGTATAAAATCTACCATGATTTCATCCACTCTAGTCTAGTCTTCCATCATCCCTTACCTGGACCACTTTACCATCTCCTAAATGCTCCTGCACTCTTGCAATCTCTCCCTGTAATCTATCCTATACACACACACACAGCACCTACAGTGCCTTTAAAATGAAAAAACCAGACCAACATTCTCCAACAAAGCCCCACTATAATTAAAATAAAATCTGTTCATTTTGGTTCTCAAGGCCAAGACAGCTAGCCCTTCTTAGCTTTCCAACCTCTTCGATGCCACTCTTTCTGTCCCAAATACACTTAGCTTTTTCCTGCCCCAATCCTGCTCAAGGAACTCAGGGATCACATCTATCCTGCTTGTATCACTCCACCAATGTCAGGGTGATAAATGGGGCAAGGGGTATTCTCAGACTTCTTTGAAAGAACTAAAGCTGAAAGTCTGTAATACAATAAGTGTCCATTAGAGGGCCTCCTTGACACTTGAGAACAGGATTAACTGTTCAGTTAAATGCTAGATAAGGATACCCTACAATGAGGTATTCTTAATAAATGGAGGAATGATCATAATACAAAAAATACATTTTTAAAAGAAGCATACAAACATATGTTAGGCCCTGAGTTAGATCCTAGTTGTGTGACCAGGCTCCTTCCCATGACAGCCTGCCTAGACTTACATACGCATAGACACCCACAGTGAGGAAGCCTCTCTATTCCTCATTGTTCACATCTATAAACGGAAATAGAGACGATACCTAAGGTATCAAGGATTGATGAGATAATGCATGCAGAGCACTAATTTATGGCGTGGCATGTGAAAGTGCTCAATAAGTGTTGGTTATTACCTGTAGCCAATGAATGTCTTTTCCAATCATTTTTCTGTTCCCAAACTTCACCTTTTTTTCCAAAGCACTGGTCAAATGCTGCTTCTCATGCTTAATCCTAAGTCTTCTTTTGGCTTTCCTTTGCCTTCCTTCTCTAAAGCCAACCTTTTGGAAATACACAATTTCCACATATTCAACTGATCATGATCAGACTTCTGCCACTCCACTGGAACTCCTCTCTGTATGGTCTCTCTGTTGCTGAATCCAGTGAAAACCTTTTAGTCTTCTCACTAGCTACTGACACTGCTGGCCACGCTTGGCCCCTAGAAGCACTCTATTATCAGACTTTTCCTATCAAGCTTGCCACTCCCTATAAGTCTCCCTGGTCTTTCCCTCACCCCAGAGAGCCCATGAACACCAAAGTTCCATAGGTCTCTAATGCACCCCGTGAGCTCCAATCTCAATTTGAGTTTTTCATCAGCACCACACATTTTACATGGCAAAAATGAACTCATTATCCAATTTAGTGAATTACTGATTAAGACACCAAAACCATCTACTCTGTTACCCAAGCTAAAAGTCTCAGGCCCAGCCTAAGTGGCTCTAATAAACACACATTCTAGTATCCTCAGTTTACTCTGTTTGATCCGCCTTGGTTTTTCCTGCCTAGGCTACTTCAATAGTCACCAACTAGTACCTGTGCCTCTACTCTTTTTTTAATAATAGCTTTATTGAGAGATAATTAACATATCATAAAATCCACTGATTTTAAGTGTACTATTCAGTGAATTTTAATATAGTCACCGTGTCTGTACAACCTTCATCACTATAATTTTAGAACACTTTCATCACCCTGAAAGAAATTTCATAGAGTAGCAGTTACCAGTCCTTCCTTTTCCCCAGCCCCCGACAACCACTAATCCACCTCTGTCTGGATATTTTATATAAGTGGAATCATTCAACATGTGGCCTTTTCTGATTGTCTCAACTCTCACCTAATCTTCCACTCCATTCTATCCTTCACGATTAACCACACTTTATAAAACACAACTCATGTCAGCAGCCCCTTGCTTAAAATCCTTTTATGGCTCTCCATAGACTGCAGAATGAAGTACATCCTCATTTATGCACGTAAAGGACCCTCCCACCCTGGCCCTTTCCTCAGGCAACCCATATACTATTCTCCCTTCATTCCATTCAAACATTTAGTTTCCCAGTCATACATGCCATGTCACTCCTCCACATCTCTGCCCATGTGGTTTTCTTTGCTTGGAACACCCATCTCTATCTTTATCTATCCATCTATTTATCCATTCATCCATCCACCCACCCATATATAACTATAACTCACCTCCTGTGTGCACAGGGCCTCATAAATGCTAGTCAAGCAGTCTACTACTAGCTACATCCACAGCATTTTAACTACTACTTCCCTTTTAAGACTGCTCAGACCCTTGGCAGTGATTCCAATTGTCTCAGGGCCCCTATCTATCATACTCACTGTTCCACTGTATTGCAACACTATTTTATCTGCCTCCACATGAGACCTTTAGCTGTTGTGGATAATAGGCTAGCTTCATTTAACTCTGCAGCATTTAGCACAGGGTCTGTATGAAGAAGTCACTTAACTACCTGTTGATTGAGTGTCTTGGAATTAACATTTGTTTATATATACCCCATAACACCCAACAGGCAATTTGCAATAAAGCACCTCAAAAGTCTTCTTCGTTTCTTCTTCCTCCTCTCCCCTCTTCCTCCCTCCTCCACTTCCTCTTCCTTCTTCCTCCTCCCTCACTCACTCTCTCTCTCACACACACACATGCACACACGCACACACACATACATGTACACACAATTATACAAAAGGTACCAGATCTTCACGTGACTATGAGAACTATGCCAAAAATAAACAATTCTTCTTAGAATCAGCAATAGGCAAAAACATTTTGGTTTGGTAGTGTTCCCTAACAGAACAAAGAAGATTGTTGTTTGAATGCCAATATCTTATGTTTAAAACTCAAGCTTGTAACTGACTTTGTCCTTGAAAAACTGCCTGTAGAAGTTAAGTTCTAGAAGTATTTTTCATATGTCTGAAAGAAATTAAGCATATAAATACACTTAATGAGCCATCAGACACTAAGAATAAATCTGCTAGGGAAGAAAAATGTAAGAAAGTACCTGTAGATAAACCTTCTTCACACCAGGCACATAATCTGCAATGCGGCCAAAGAGAAGTCTTCCAACTCCTGAAGTGATGCCAATGCACATGAGAACCACCTCTTTATTCTTTTCATCTTGAAATTTTTCATTCACATGTTTCATCTGTACACCAAAGAGAAAGAAACCACACTAAATATACAGGAAAACTTGACAAGGTTTGATGTTCTGCATCAAATATGTTTGTTTCTCTACAGTATTAAAGACTTTCACCCCCTTGCAAATGAAAATACTTATTTATTCTGTGATAGGTTTTCAGGAGCACATATGAAGAAATTCTAACATGATTTAGTTTGCATAAAAAAGAAGACTTCTGGGCTGGAGGAGTGGCTCAAGTGGAGGGTTGCGTGCCTGCCAAGAACAAAGCCCTGAGTTCAAACCCCAGTACTGCACCCAACACATACACTAAAAAAAGAAGAAAGGAGTTCTTATAAGAAGTTTCAGTAACTGTTACTAGCACGCACTTTATTTTTTTTCTTTTTTTTTTTCCTTTTATTATTCATATGTGCATACAAGGCTTGGGTCATTTCTCCCCCCTGCCCCCACCCCCTCCCTTACCACCCACTCCACCCCCTCCGTCTCCTCCCCACCCCCTCAATACCCAGCAGAAACTATTTTGCCCTTATTTCTAATTTTGTTGTAAAGAGAATATAAGCCATAATAGGAAGGAAGAAGGGTTTTTACTGGTTGAGATAAGGATAGCTATACAGGGAGTTGACTCACATTAATTTCCTGTGCATGTGTGTTACCTTCTAGGTAATTCTTTTTGATCTAACCTTTTCTCTAGTTCCTGGTCCCCTTCTCCTATTGGCCTCAGTTGCTTTTAAGGTATCTGCTTTAGTTTCTCTGCGTTAAGGGCAACAAATGCTAGCTAATTTTTTAGGTGTCTTACCTATCCTCACCCCTCCCTTGTGTGCTCTCGCTTTTATCATGTGCTCAAAGTCCAACCCCCTTGTTGTGTTTGCCCTTGATCTAATGTCCACATATGAGGGAGAACATACAATTTTTGGTCTTTTGGGCCAGGCTAACCTCACTTAGAATGATGTTCTCCAATTCCATCCATTTACCAGCGAATGATAACATTTCGTTCTTCTTCATGGCTGCATAAAATTCCATTGTGTATAGATACATTTTCTTAATCCATTCTTCAGTGCTGGGGCATCTTGGCTGTTTCCATAACTTGGCTATTGTGAATAGTGCCGCAATAAACATGGGTGTAGCACACACTTTATAATCTAACATAGAGCTATTCATCAAAGGAAGACAAAGACTTTCGAGTACTCTATATAACTGTGGTCTCAAGGTTACCCCAGACACAGCATATTATCTACCCCCGAAAGACAACTAAAGGTCAATTTTGGAGTTTTATTTCTTCTAATGAGCTGGCATCCCTGAAATAAGTTTTAGCAAAGCTTCCATGACGAAAGTATGAGCTTCCCTGGTTATGTATCTGTGTAGCACTAGAACAGATAAAGATACAGGAGCAGTTTCACACAATGGTTAAAAGATTTAGACCTCTGGAGAGTTGGTTTGCATGGGCTCAAGTCCTGGTTCCATCCCTTATCAAACCTGTGACTTTGAGTGAGTTCTTAATCTATAGGATCTCAGTTCCCTTTTCTACAAACTGGAAATAGCAGCAGTACCTAACTCAAAGGTACTATTTTATGAGGATCGAGCAGAAGGCCTATGTCTGTAGCTAGAGGGTTGGGGGTATAGGTAAGTGGTACAGCGCTTATGTGAGGCCCTGGGTTCAATCCCCAGCACTGGAAAGAAAAAAAAAAAGAAAGAAAGAAAGAAAAGAAAACAAAGAGTGCCTGGCAAAAATATTGATCAGGTATTAATTTTAGTCTTTTTAAAACAGGACCTTTTGGAGCCAGTTGCTCTAGAAGTGGAGGAAGAGGGAGAGGGAGAAAAGGACTTTTCCTATCCATTTATAGTCTACTTAGAACAGTGACTACAGTAACCTTTCAGCCATAGATAGCTAGTAAGCAAGTTTTGACTGTTCCGTAACAACCTCGGTATTCACTATCCCTTATACCAAACATTGGAAGTCTGCAAGGAAATTTCCCACCAAGCTCAATGGCCTACATGGTTACAATGTGGCAGTAGACTTTCTGAATGACATCTCCTTAAGACACTTCTGTTTAGCTTTTTATTTTTGTGTGTTTTTTCAAATAGAGTCTCGCTATGTAGTCCAGGCTGGCCTCAAATTCACAATCCTCCTGCCCCAGTTCCTCCCCCACACAGCACTGGGATTATAAGCATATACATACCACCACGCCTGGCTTCACTCAGCTTGTTTTACATTTTAAGACCATTTGTATATCACACCATCTTATTTCTTTCTTCCCTTTCAAAATGGTAACTGTTCTAACCTCTCTATTTTCACATTGGTCTAGAATAATCTCCTAAATATGGCTTTAATCTCATGAGTCCCTTCTTCAAAAGGCTGCCCACTGCTGACATTTTATACTCCTTAGTTTGGTATTCAAAGCTCTTATAATCTGTTGCTAATCCATCTTTGAACCTTTATTAACTACTGATTCTTGGCTCAGAAGCTGAAAATTTAAGTGTCTACAGGACCCAGGCAAGTTAACATAAAGTAGTAAAACATTCACCAGAGAGACAAGGCATATACTTCAGTTGATTATTACTACCAATGTTGCCAATTCTACCTCCCAGGCCCTATTTATATATATATATAAAACCAGAAAGTCTGGATTTTATGTGGAAATGCTGGCATCTAACTTAAGCTTGGAACATTGTTTATCCAACCATACAAAAGCCAAGCAAAATGTATCTGCAAACCGCATTAGGCGGGCTTTGATCTCAGCCCTAACCCCAGGTGGCCCAATAGGGCAGGTTTATTCACAATGTTGCTTAAACATGCTAATATGTTCCTACTCTTCTACATCTCTGTTGCCTATCTACCCTCCAAGACTTCCTTTCTTCTTGTTATTATCTAAAGTTACCATTTAGTTCAATATTGCTTACCTTGCCTTACTAGCTCCTTACTGTGCACATTCTCTTGACTAAATTCTTCACATCAAAGAAGATATTTTCCACTTGCCTGATTCAAAGGCACCACAAAGTCAACATGCCCTTTGCTAAACTCACCTCCCCTTCACTAACTGCCCTCCCTTTTTGCCCCTCATTTTAGTTAATGCTATTCTGGGCCACCTACCCATAGTAGAAACCCAAAACCATCCCAGATTACTCTGGCTTCTTTTCTTCAAATTCAATAGTCATCACCAAATCTCTTATTGGACACTTCCTGTGGTCCCTGTTCCCCTGGTATTTTAGTTCAGGTTCTTCTCACTCCTTACTGGACCACTACAGCAGCCTTGTAACATGCTTCTTGCTAAGCCCTCACCCCTAAATCTCTCCCCTCTAGCCTATATTCCCAGAGGAGACTAGATTAAGTTTAAAAAAAATTTAGATTAAAAAAAATCTCTTAAATATCATATTTTTGGGAAGTACTGGAGTTTGAACTCATGCTTGCTAGATAGTTGCTCTACCACTTGAGTGACTTTTTTGTATTGGGTATTTTCAAGACAGAGTTTTGAGAACTGTTTGCCTGGGCTGGCTTCGAATCTCAATTCTCCTGATCTCTGCTTCCTATAATAGGCATGAGCCATTGGCATCCAGCTTAAATGTCACTTTGAGGCTTAATATTCTCATATGGCTCATAAGCTTCAGGATAAAACTTCAACTCCTGGCTTGACAAAGACCTCTGCTTTGCCATTGTAGCCTCACCTCCAGATACCTCCTTCAGCACACTATGCTCATGCTGTGTGGGTAACCGAGCACTGAAATATGGCTAGTCCAAACCGAGATGTGCTGTAAGTGCAAAACATGCAGAGGAATTAGAATTCTGTGGGGTGAAAAAAGCATGCATATAACTCAATAATTTCATATGACTCCCTGTTAAAATAATATTTTAGCTATGAGGTTAAGTGAAATATGTTGTAAAAACAAATGTCATCTCATTTTATTTTTTTAATGTGGCTACTTGAAAATTTAAAAGTTCACCATGGCTTGCATTATTTCTTTTCTTTTTTTCTTTTTCTATGTTATGTTCCTTAAAGAAACCCACTATGGTTGCAAAGATAAAGATAGCTGCTGATGAAGGGGACCTCAAACTTTTAGATAAAGTTGATAGAAATGGAGACCTGTTCTATAGGAAAATGATTTAAGACAGGTGTGAGATTATGTACATTTATTGGCTTTACTTGACTTTGAATCCAAACGCTAATGCATCAATTCACCTAAGGAAGCACCAAAAAGATCTATTATGGCTTTTCCCTCCAGTGCTCAGGATCAAACTCAGGGCTAAGCCAATGCTATACCACTGAGTTACACCCCAAGCCCCTATTTTAACAGTTATTCATTTTTTTGCCAAGTTCACGTCAGAAGGGTAATGTGCCAACGTAACAAGGTTTGAGGGAGGCATATGTTATGCAAAGGCATGAACACCCAGTCATCACACTACGAACCAAAAAAGCACCTATTTTAACTTTTAAAGAGACTTTCTTTAATATTTGCAAAAGACTAAATTTAGCAGTCATTCATCTGATGAAACTAAGAACACCTGTCTACCAAATTGCTATTATTTCTTTGTTAGTACAGCTTTTGCTCCTCCCCCAATCTACTTTATAATCTTTAAAAGAAATAATAGGGTGAAATGTTTGAGATATTCTGAAAGAGGGTAAATTGGGTAAGTTAAAATTATACTAAGTGGAAACTTAGTTCTTTAATGATAAAGGACATTATTTCATCGAATTTTGTTACTGTTGTCACTGTCGTTTATAAAGCAAGAATTTCGACTTCCATTATTACTCCCTGTCCTTCCACTAAAACTGGCAAGCTAAGAGTTTCTCTGGTCAATAAGTGAGGGAATCTGGGGGCTAGAGGAGCCAACACTGCGCATGCTGGATCTAGGACTCCTTGAGATCCTTCCTCACTGAGACAGCCAGCAGTACCCAGGAAGTTTGGTGTGTTCCATTGGTGGCCTGGGTTTCCCACCACTGCTGTGATCTGTTTTATAAATTTCTGCACCCTCTCATCCTCTAGGGACCACCATTCACTTTGTTTGGCAGAAAACA